CTCCCAGTGTGTGATGGATCCTACTTCCAGCCCAGGGGACTCGGCAATTGCTGAAGCCAGTCTGGGACCCAATGCAGAGCAGGGAGCAGGGAGGTAAATGGGAGAGAGGTTTTTCCCTAAGGGGGATGTTTTTGATCCGCATGATAAGCTATACACAAGTACTTATCTTTCACTGATAGGGGTTGCTTCTCACTGGTTCTGGGTGGCCATGTAGACTTTCAGCAGCTGGGTCTCCCCAGTGCAGAAAACGTGCCTCCCGAGCATGGCTGCTTGCCTGCCTCACCGCTCACCGCCGAGTTGCTCAGGCCTGAAGGGCTCAGGCTCTCGCCAGGTCAGGTCTGACAACTCCTTGCTGCTACTGAACGGTCTCTCCCTCCCAATGCCACTCAGTCTGGTTTCTGAACTCTGCCTTTGATGTTCAGGGCTCCCAGATTGCCATATATAATCAAATCACTTGGTTTTCGGGTCTTTGTTGTAAGAGGGTCCACCTACTGGGAATTTTTGTGAACGTGAAATGAGAACATATGTGAAAAGTACCCAGTACAGTTTTGGCACTAATAAACTTTCAGTAAATAGTGTTGATTATTTGATACTGGTAATTTAAAGTAATATTTTAAATTATAGCCATACCAGTGTGTCCCTTGTTCCTGATATTCAGCAAACCCTTTCCTGCCCCAGGGCCTTTGCAGTTGCTTCTCTCTCTCTCTCTGTAATGTGTTTTCCATAGCTTTTTCAATGGCTGGATCATTTTCACTCTTCAAGTTTCAGCTCAAATATCACCTCTTCGTGGAGACTTAAACTGACCTGTCTGTCTAAAGTAAACCCTCACCTTCACCCTAGTTGTAGTCCCTGAGTATGTTCTTCATTTTTCCCTTTCTTTTCTCCTTTGAAATGTAAGCTTTGTAAAGGCAGAGAGACCTTATCTTCTATGACAGCAACTGTGTGCCCAATGTTCAACACCTTGGGCCAGTGGCTGGCCCAATAAACGTGAGTAAATAAATGAGTGATTTAATTAAATGAATAAATGAGCAGGAATGAGGAAGGGAGGAGAAAAAAAGAAACAAGCAAGAGAGCAAGGAAAAACACTGGAAGAAAGAAGGAAGGATGGATAAAAGGAATAGACAAAAGAAGAAACTTACATGGCCTGAGGAATAGTTTATATTCTGGGTATTTCTATTTATACATATACAACTTTTAAATTTTGTCTTAAAGTTGGGTAAAAATTGCACAATTTCTATTCTGTTTTCTGTGTCTCTGGTCAATGTGTTTCACCTTATCCTCTCCTTCCAGAAGCCTACAGGGTTTGCTACAGGGTCACCTCTATGAGGCAGGAAACAATTATTATATGATACCAACACCTTATGGCAGGTGTTGTCAAACTTCCTATAAAGGGCCAGATTCTAAATACTTTGGCTTTGCAAACCATATGATCTCTTACAATTATTGAACTCCACCGTTTTAGCATAAAAGCAGTCATAGACAATGCATAAACTGATGAGTGAAGTGTTCCAATAAATCTTTATTTATAGACACTGAAATTTGAACTTCGTATCACTTTCACATGTCTTGAAATATTATTCTTGCTTTGATTTTTTTCAACCAATTAAAAATATAAAAGCCATTCTTAGCTTGTGGGCCAGGTAAAAACAGGTAGGAGGCTGGATATGTCCCACTACCCTACTTTGCTGTTCCCTGCTCTAGAATGGACTAGTTTAATGGGTGTCTATCTGGAATATTTGCATTTTGAAAAGTGAACTGGGTGGAGTGAGTCAAAGAATAAATTTCTAGATTCTCCCTCAAAGAATAAGTCACTGTTTTAAATACTTTGGCAAAATGAAAGAAAAGTATAATTTTGAGCAATCAGGCTTCCTGAGCTCCTAAAAAATCACACTGTATCAGACTTTTGTTACCCACAGGTAAAGATGTGAGTAGTAAGAGTAGCTTTCATTACTACCTAAAACTAGCCAGGTGTGTCTGTCAACAAGCTCTTATTCATTCCTTCATTTCATAGACTTTGGAATTTAGGATTAGTCACTTCCAGCGATGATTTTGAAAGAAACACAATTGAAGATACACTGAATTAAATCACTGCTCTTTATTTACAGTCCTGCAGAGTAAAATGTTTTCACTTTCAAGTAATGATTTCTCTGAAATTGTAACTTTAAGTTGGGTAAGGAATTATTTTTAAAAGTACTACGATGATACTATTTTCTCTATAAACAGAAACTTAAAATTGTGTTTAAAATTATAGCCCTGTTAGAGTTATTTTGTAGAGCTATTAGTATTTATAGTGCTTTCCCATTTCTTTAAGATAAAAGAGCTTTCCAACTTTTTTTTCTTTACTCACATCTCTCTTAAACAGCCGAAGCTACTGTTTAAAATTGCACCTTGGGAAGATGCTAGTCATACTGCAGTGAAAAATCAGAGTGAAGCTCAATTTGAAGAAAAAGCAGTTAAGTATTTCATAGGTAGGAATATTTAGGATATTGAACTTAATAGTCAAAATACGTCTGCTTTATTTTAGGGCATACAAGATAAGTCAGCCTTCAGCTATGCATCCCTGGAGTTAAAACTAAGTTGTTGAGTTTTTATCTTAATTTATCTTAGAGAGTAATAATAGTGCACCATTGATTATCGGCGTTCAGATTATCAGAGGTTAGTTTTAAATCCTTCAACCACCTTTCCCTTCTTCCCTGCATTTCTATATTGGAAAATAGAGATTAATAATAGTTTTACGTCAAACCAAATTAGGAATTGGGAAAAACCTGACTCATGTCAGTCAAATATTTTATTTTAAAACTACCAGCTTATGTTTTGATTATCCTTATCTGCAGCCTCTCTCTTTAGTATAAAATGGTGAGAGGTAACTGTACACAGAAGGAACGTGGGAATGAAGGGTGAGAGAGTCTCCAAGGTAGTGTTCCTGTGCTTTAATTCCTCAGGAATATTGAGTAAAATACTCTCCATGTAAATTAGGATGTGGATTACTGAAATTGCTCAAAGGTAAGCAGTTTAATTCCCAAGGCAGACAATTTGCTTGTGCCAGTTCATGACTCAATCCTGTGACATGCATGGTAGTCAACAATCAAGTTCTGTAATTCAAATATTCAGGCAGAAGGAACTTGGGAAAATGGGTTCTATGGTTATATGGGTTTACTTTTGAACATTCCTCACCCGGAAGCCCAGGAGACCTGCACCCTTGAGGGAAACAATGGAGATGTCAGCCTTAGGGAGTCTCATTAGACCAACTAATTTTGCTAACAGTCAGATACACATCCCTTTGTATACTTGAAAATGAAAGCATACCCTGTTGTTTTCCACAAGCTCTATATGACACAAACCTTCTCATGAATTATGCCATAATCACCATTGCGCCATGATTTGCATATGAGTTCAGAGTATATTCAGCTGATATATGACTAACCTCACAACTGGCGACATGTACTTTATTTTTTTTTAAATGTAAATCCTTGAGAAAAAAAAAAATGGGTGTTGGTTTCTGGGTCATTGGTTTTTCCTCCTGCTACTCAACTTTTATTCCTGCTATTCTCTAAGCATCTCTTTCTGGGGATGGTCAATCTTAGAAATTACATTGCTTGTCATTTGCATTGCCCCTAACCACCATCATAGCTTTTATTGTATCTGCAAATAGTTTTAAGTTGTTCTCCAGTTCACATGTCATTCACTGAACAAGCATGTTTGTTTGCTGTTACCAGCAGTTTTACTGGAACTGGGTAGTTCCAGGAGAAAGATCATTCTGTTTGTTTGTAGCTGTGTCCTGTAGGCACACACCTACACACCAAATTACATTTGTGCTTTAAAGAAGGAGCCTTAAAGTGACTCTTCATCTTAAAGAGGGAAAAAAGAAGAAATCCCACTGCTTTGCTTTATGGTCTGAAATATAAAGGGCAAATCTGCGATTTTTTGTTACTAGATTCATTCAGCTGTCTGGAAGTGTTTATGGGAACTTTAAGCAAATCCCCTACCTCACTTCTGAAGCCGCATTTTCCACTGTGAAATCTGTTGAAACAAACCAACAGAGCTCCATTACCATTTCTTTCGCTTTATCTTCCTCCTGCAAGCCATTTGCACTCCCCACCCCACAAACCCACATACATCCCACTTCAATGTAAGTGCGACCTCGGCCTTTCCTGAATAGTGTCAAACTGAAGTGTAGTGGTCAGTAATGGCCTCGTAACAAACAAAAACACCAACCTGAGCATATAACAGACAAAAGTTACAGAAGAAGAGCTGGCTGCCCTTGGATCTTTATTGTGAAAATGGCAGTGGATGAGAGAAGACATCAGAAATGTGGAGCACATGCTTTTACTTTGTTCTTACATCCTGTGATAGTTTCTGCTTCTGGTTCTGTCAGAAATTTGCCACACCCGGAGTGAGAAGCAGCTAACATAGAAGATTACTGAGTACTCCCCCTAGGCGAGGACATGATGTTTTTGTTGTTGTCGTTAGTTGCCATCAAGTCAGCTCTGACTTACGTATAACAGAAAAGAAAAGTTGCCCAGTTCTTCAACATTGTGCCCATCTTCATGGTAGTTGGTGACTTTGAGTCCATTGTTGTGGCTATTGTGTTAATCCATCTCATTGAAGATTTTCCTTGCTTTCGATCCTTTTCAATGGATATGATACACCCCTTTAAATTGGGTTTTCTTGATAAATCAAAAAACAAAAAATTTTTTTTAACTGATAACTTTTTAGACAAAATCGTAATAGCTTGCCATGGTTTTCTTTTCAATATTCCTGTTGTGTTATTTGGACCCTGAAGTAGGTGACTTAAAAAGGTCATGTAAGCAGCTATGAAGAGTTAACAAAGCTTCAATAACCAAAAACCAAACCCATTGCCACTGAGTCTATTCTGACTCATAGCGACCCTATAGGACTGAGTAGAACTGCCCCATAATGTTTCCAAGGCTATAAATCTTTATAGAAGCAGACTGTTAACGTCTTTCTCCCGCGGAGCAGCTGGTGAGTTGGAACCACTGACCTTTCAGTTAGCAGCCAAGGGCTTAACTACTGTGCCGCCAGGGCTCTGAAAGCTTGAATACAGGTCTCTAATGATGGCTAAATTAAACACTGATGATTTGGAAACCACTGCAAGCTGCTTTTATACCATCGATCCTAAAGTTTTTCTGAAATACGGAAAAACTTTGTCTGACTTTTAGGAGATAACATGCAATTTTATGTACAGACCATTGATGCATTTGGTATCTTCAAAGCCAGTTTATGCTATGTTTTAAAGGTTTTTTTGAGGGAGGAGTGAGTGTTGCAATACTGAGGTTGTTTGCAATTTTATTTCTCTTTATATTGTTTTAATTTATTTTAAATCACGATATGTAATGCTGATTTGTGTGTGTGTGTCATGGTTAATAAAGGCCATTTCTTTTTCTTTTTTAATATCTTGAAGGTTGGAAAATAATCCACTTGATATTATTTCTAAATCACGTAATTATTTGACTAACAATTGGCAATTTGTTAAATGCAATGGATTGTCATGTGGAAAATTCCTAGAGAAAAAATAGTACATATTTGCATTTCCTTCTATAGCCTTCATATAGGAAATAACAGGTGAAGTGTGAGTTCTGATTAAACAGAGTTAGGGCTGACAGGAAGAATGGCAAGCACTATTCCTTTTGGGTGAAACAGAGTGGATTTTTCCTCCAGAAGAGAGGCTTTGTGCTTTTCGAACACTGATAGGAGTCCTCACTGTGGATTTGTGTTTTTGAAAAATATATGTCCATCATAGCCCTTCAGTCCCAGACAAGTTTCCAGAATTGTTCTATACTCTTAAAGCTTCTTAGACTTGGAAGGGATAGAGACTCTTGTTATATTTTTATGCGTATTGTCCTTTTTCATATGCTAATGGACGTATTTAAAGCATTCTTGGAAAATGCTGCATTACTGTGATGAATTAAGTCACTAGACCTATTCAACTGTTCTTACCAGAGGCAAAAGAGCCTGATTATTTAGACCTGTAACCCTTTCAGTTTATCTCTTAGATAGGATGGATGGATCAATGTAGCTAATTGATTGACTCAGTTGAATCAAATAAACTGTTAATGATCAGGAATTCAGATACCAAGGATCCATTTAGTGCTCATTTTGTAACTTGGCCTACAAATATTTGCCCATCTTCAGTGATGCTAATGAATATGCCTTGGTTCATTCATGAATTCTAATATAGATCCCACTGCGACCAAGTAGCAAATGAATATGTACAACTGAAGGAAGGTTAGTAACCTACCATAAAAGCTAAAATACATCTTTTTATAGGACGTATGCTGTATGCCTTCTCCAAAATATGGCTTTCCCTATTTGATCTGTCAAGTTCAGAATAAATTAAAACACGATGTTATGAGCATTATTTTTACTTGGAAATTTGTGTAATATTTAGTTATCAATAGGAACATTAGTACTTTCCATTGTAACTCAACTACTGTGCAGTGAACTACATGTATAATCTATAAGAATCAACATCAAGATAATTATTTGTTGACATTTTAGTTGTTTCTTGGACTCCTCCCACCCCCACCTTAGATAGAATGAAAGTATAGTGGAAAAGGGACTATTAGGTTACAAAAAAAAAGCAACCAAAAAGATTTTTTTTCCTTCCAGCTGTCTTTTTTTCAAAATATGTGAAGAAAATTCCTCCTTTGATTTATATTTCACCCTCCATACCTGTTTAGAGTTTCGTATTTTTTACCTGTGCCTTGGGCCCTTATATTCACAATTCTTTCTTTCTTTGTAATTGGTGTAAATTATCTAGAAATATTTCATAAAAGAAATAAATAGATTTAGTTTAATGAACTAATTTGGTTGTATAATATTCTTTACATCTTATTTCCGGTGTTTTTATTTGAAGTTTAGAAGCCCCTGGGCGGGCTTTTGAGGGTTTGTGATTCTAATTTGCTACTGTATGTGAAAATATATATGTATGTATGTGTGTGTTGTGTATAATGTACATTTTCCTGGGGAGAAGATCAAGCTTTCATCATCAGACTCTCAAAGTATGTAAATAAAAATATGAACCACTGATTTATTACAACCACCCGAAGTAGCATGATTATAGCGACAGTTTCTTCATTACTTCTGGAGGCTGTCTTCCCTCTCCACTCTTCCCACCTCCTGACCCCCGAACCCCTTCAATTTCCTAACATTGCTTTTCTTTTCAGGTGCCGGAGTTGGGGGTGGGGAGAAGGTGTTCAGCCTTCAGGCTGAGCTTGAAGATAAAATCTGTTGAAATGAAAATAGGAGATTAAAAAGAAAAAAAAAACAAAAAACTGCAGCCCTAGGGAGGATGGGAGAGCTGAAGAAAGATATAGTATTTTGGTGTAATTATATGTTCATTCTAGAACATATACTGGCTTTTTTTTTTTTTTTTTTCCTTCTCCTGTGGACTGCATCAATGCCACAATACTAGCTTAGGTTAGCTCTGTTTTAACAACAAGAACATGATAGAAAGTATGTAAATATTTTGTTTGAGAATAAAGATTTAAAGTAGCTTAATTCTTTTTTATACAGGATTATAATATTGTGTGCCAAAAGCAAAAACTGCAACCATTTAAATTTTTCAAAATATATTTTTTAAGTTTTAAAAGCAAGTAATAAGTTCAGAAGGACTGAGAGTAATTTCTTTTTATTTGTAGCCTACAATTAAGTTTAAAAAAAAAAAAAGAAAACGCTGTATAGTTTAGAGAAAGCTCACTAATGTGGCAGTAATTCCTGGTATCTGTTATCAGCTATTGTAGGTAGGCAAATTCAGTTATTGAAATTCAGGTTAGTAAACTGAATTTCTTATTTCCCTAATTTCCTTTTTTTAAAAAAATATTCTATACATTTCTACATTGAAAGTCTCGGTACTGTTTTGGAATGAAGTAGATTATAAACAAACAAATAAAAACTTAAATTGCATCCAAGTGCATTATTTATTGACATTTATATTTTAACAAAATGGAGTTGTTTTGATCATTTAGGTCCATAATCTTATACACTAGGATCTTATAAAATCATGGAATAAATAAATAAAGAAACCAAACCTGTTGCCATCGGGTCGATTCCAACTCACAGTGAACCTATAGGACAGAGTAAAACTGCCCCATAGAGTTTCCAAGGAGCAGCTGGTGGATTCAAACTGCCAACCTTTTGGTTAGCAGCTGAGCTCTTAAACCACTGTGCCACCAGGGCTCCAAAAATCATGGAACATATACTTAAGTAAACTGAAGACACTAATACATAAATTATAGTTAAATTAATTTATCTTTGCCAAACACTGAGATATGAATTAAGGCAAACAGAATTTAATGCAGTCACCTATTTTGAATCAGCTGTATGTGTACTTTTAAAATATGCTAATCTTAAATGAAAGGAGCCCTGGTGGCACAGTGGTTAAGCACTTGGCTGGTAATCTAAAGGTTGGTGCTCTGAACCCACCAGCTGCTCCACAGTCTGCTTCTGTAAAGATTACAGCCTTGGAAACCCTATAGGGCAGTTCTGCTCTGTCCCCTACGGTCACTATGAGTCAGAATTGACTGGACGCCATTGGGTTTGTTTGTTTTTAATCTTAAATAATAACAGCACACAAACCCATAGTGTAGGGAAAACTTTGTGTGCAAATAGGCGCTGTAAATATTTTCAGCCTTCTAATACGGTTCCTATAAATGTGAGACTGCCCAAAGGCTGTCTCGTACAAGGCATCTAATGAGTGGTTCTGTTTAGTCTGCATAGAATGATAAAGCTGACTGAATGGTGAATAAAATGCCGAGTGACCACAGCTCAAAGCCCCCTTGAGGCACCATGTGCATTTAGTATGAAGTGCTCAAATGTGATAGTACACAAGTTGCCCAAAAAAAGCAGCTATTTTATGAAAATCATGGGAGTGAGGGCGACGTCCTCTCAAGTATGTCAACAAAATGCAGTTAAACAGATTATATTGCTAAAAACAGTCTGCTTTCGGCTGATTTTGCATTAATATACTCATTTTAATTTGTGCCCACATAGCCAAATGTTTAAAGGGTAGAAATGCTCAACTCAGTCACCCAGTCTGAGGGCTGGAGGTCGGGTTTCAGAGCCCCAGAGGCAGATGTGAGCCCTCCATGATGAAGGTGAGGCTGAGAGAATGCAGGTGAGGGTCAATTTCATTCCACCCCTAAATGTCGTGAGTCTTTGGGAGTCCCTGCAGGGTTGCAAGAGATCTGAGCTGGGTAGCTTTCTGCACCATTTTTCTCCTCATCCCTGTTAGGATAAATGATTAACAAATTTGACTGAGCAAAAAAGAAATTGTGATTTCAGAGACTTCTCCAACTTCTTAAAACAGTAGAGAAGAAACACGGTCTTGGCTCTCCTAAAAATGATGGCTTTCCTTTTTCTTAAACCTTCACTCTCCTCTCTCCTCAATTCAGCCTCTCTTATTTAGTTAAGGCTTCCTGTTGTAGCTGCCACCTCTGGAAAGAGTTGAGAATATAACTGTTGAGAATATATTTTCTTACCTTTTAAAAAAAAAAAAAAGCAATATTATTAATGACCCCTTTTAAAACCAGTATTTCTGTAAAACCTTCTCAGATGCTATAGGTAGTGAAAGCCCATCTGGGTTCAGGATGGCTGCATGTGGCCTAGCTTTTTTTTTTTTTCCCCTGCCTTGTTTTCAGTAACAGTTTACTTAGTAATTTCTACTGATGAAGTTATTCTTACGTCTGAACTTTTACCTCCCTGTGAGACCACATTTTGCACTGTATACCTAATTGAGAGCCAGTACATGTGCTGAATTCTAAGGATTGCTTTTTGAAGGTCTAATCTTAGCCACGTGTTCTTTTCTCCCAATTAGACTTAAATCTTGGAAACTTCCTTCCGTATGTTGCTACTATTGTCTTATTGTGGTTCATATATTTAATCTATCTAATATTTATATATCCTTATGTAGACAAATAATTTTACCAGTGCAGAAGTGGTAAGATCTAGTCCTTTCGGTAACCATACCTGAATTTATGGTTTTTACTATTAAACCTCAAAGTTAAACCTTGTGGTCCTAACACTAGCTGAGATGAGATAAGGTACAATGATCCTTTCATGATTTTTTTTTATCATAGAGATCAATCTTAGTAGGAATTTTCATTTTTCACATTTTTAATAAATTATTACTAACAGAGGGTAAGTGGAAAACTTGAAAATTAAGTAAACTTGAAAAGTTTTTAATAGTTTTGTTTTATAATTCTATATTATGCTTTCTTTGCAGGACCGTGTAATTGCATTAGAAATGGTAAGTTGGGGCATTTTCTTTATCCTTGTATCAGAATTACTCCTGTCTCCTGTTGTGGATTTCAAAGCACTCCACAAAGGAAGCAGTTCCAGAAAGCATTTCTAAAACCGCATCAAGGATTGAGAGGGGAAAATCAGCTAAACTACACCAAGAAGGTATGTGGATATGATCTTTTAAAATGAAAAAAATAAAATAAAAACCACAAACACACACAAAATAACAAAAATGTGAACATATTTAACTGGCCACTGCTATCCCAGAACTGCTGATGCCGTGATGTACTTATTTATGGAAAACTGTGATCAATAGCTTGTATATACTTTTTATGTTTCATAATTACTGAAACAACTGGCTCATAAGAAACTGAGATAGGATGCTATTTATACTTTGAGGTCCAGGTTTTCAACATTTATATTTTTTAGATTCTTTTTACTAATGTCTAGAAAAATGATAAAAGCTGTCTAGTCTGTTTTCAGTAATCTTACTTGCAGAATCTGCTCATGAAAATAATATTTTTAATGTATGGATGTAAAGACTAGATGACTGCAATTTTATTGAGAAGTGTTTATTTTTAAAAGAAAAGAGGGGGCCACTTATTGTTTCGGGTTAAGTAATGGTTAGGTAAAGTATGGAGTTTCCACTCAACATGCCACAATGGATGGAAAATGCTTACAATATAATGTTAAATGGAAACAAATTCAAGATATAAAATTATATGTACTTTAATTATAACATAATCATAGGCATATGAAAAAAGAATAGGACAGAATAAGAAAGCTAATAATAGTAGCTTATTAGGCAAGAATTATGGGTTGTGATTTTATTCTTTTCCCTGTTTTTGTTACTCTGCTTTATTCCTCACTCTGTCATATAACTTTTATAAATAATCACTTTTTAATAATAAAAATGATATAAACTGGAGAAATAGTAAAATAAACTATGGTACCACCATATGATAGAATATTATTTGGCCATAAAAAGTTATATTTTCAAAAAATAAATATTTATATGCTGTTATGTAAAAAGAAAAAAGTAATAGATAGAACTATATATAGAACGATATAGAGACTATGATGCAAATTTTGAATATGCATATTTTTACATAGAAAAAAAGACTAAGGAAATACATAAAATAGAGTGGCTATTTTGGAGTATTAGTGTTTTTATTTTCTCTTTTTATTGTTTTAATGATCAGAACAAAATAAGAAACCTTTAAACAATAAGGTTAATAAAGAATAAGGTCTTTATTTTGTGAGTATGAGGAAAGATACCTTAATAGAGTATATTTAGTGCTGTGTAAGCAAGTGGTTTTGATTGACAGTGTCTAGGCCCTAGCAAGTAAATAAGCTCTTTATTAAATTTAACTGGGCCATTTGGAGAGTACACTGACCTTCTCAGTGCCAGTATGATGAGATTGTAGGTAAATGAAATGTTCCGTGTTCCTTCACATATATTTTACTTATCTATAAGAAGTATCTTGCCTACAGGATTTGGCTCATAAATTGAATGCTCTTTCTAAAAGCATGCATAAAAACTAAATTTTCAATTTCAAGGATCTGGGTTCAGTGTACTAAATGCCACTTATACAATATCTAGCAAATCATTTGTTTCCTTCTTCAGTAAAAATTGCTATCCAGCTCCATTGCTGTCAAGTCGATTCCAACTCACAGAGACCCTATAGGACAGGGTGGAACTGCCCCATAGTGTTTCCAAGACTGTAAATCTTTACGGAAGCAGACTGTCACATCTTTCTCCCTCAGAGCTGGTGGGTTCGAACTGATGACGTTTTCATTAGCAGCCAGTGGGTGCTTAAGCACTGCGCTACCAGAGTTCCTCAAAATGGCTATAAAAACCAAAAAAAAAGAAAAAACCCATTGCCATTGAGTCAATTCCAACTGATAAGCGACCCTATAGGACAGAATAGAACTGCCCCATAGGGTTTCCAAGGAGCACCTGGTGGATTTGAACTGCTGACCTTTTAGTTAGCAGCTGAGCTCTTTACCACTGTGCCACCAAACCAAACCAACTCATTGCCATTGAGTCTATTCCAACTCATAGTGACCCTATAGGACAGAGTAGAACTACCCCTTAGGGTTTCCAAGGAGCAGCTGGTGGATTTAAACTGCCGACCTTTTGGTTAGCAGTCAAGCTCTTTAACCACTGCACCACCAGGGCTCCCAAAATGGCTATGGTTACCTATTTTATCAGGTTGTTTTGAAAATTAAGAGAGAAAATATATATAAAAATATTTAGGACCATACAAATGTTAGATTATCATTACCGTTATGTGATTGCTTGTTATTTCTTATTTAATCTGAATTATAATAATATGCCACATGAAATTGAAAATTATACCAACAACAATCAAAAGTGTATAACTGTTATTTACATTGATTAGTCCTGTTGTTTATTTAATCTCTTTACTAACAAAGTACTTTGAGATAGAATCGTAACTGCCTTATTCTAAGGGTTCCCCTAGGAATAAATGTAAAAAGAAAAAGTCATCATAAGAAAAATAAATTGATTAAATGGACTAGATTCTTTACAGTAGCAGTTTTCTCAAGATGGCTTTAATTTGAAGTAATTATCATAAGTAAAACCATAAAAATTAAAATGTTCAGTAATAATATTACCACTCAAATATTATGAAGTCTTTTGGCTTTGTATGGCAGTATAAGGAGTTGATTTAATACACTTAGTAGACTATTCAGCTGCTGAAGTATTTTATAGTTCATAAAATCACATATGATGAAAGTGATCTCAAGATCATTTGTTATTATCTCACAACTCATCACTTAAACCACAGAAAAGTGCTGGTGGTCTGCATTTGTTTGGGTTGGTATTTAGGATCCATATGATGTTACACTTAGAGTATATATTAAACCAAACCAAACCCACTGCTGTCGAGTTGCTTCCAACTCATAGCAACCCCATAGGGTTTCCAGGGCTGTAAATCTCCATGGAAGCAGACTGCCACATCTTTTTCCTTTGGAGCTACTGGTGATTTCAAACCACCGACCTTTTGGTTAGCAGTCAAGCATTTTAACCACTGCACCACCAGAGCTCCCAGAGTATATATTATGGTGAGACAAATCATCAAATATTTGAAATGTCATCATAAATGTCATACTTCCATTAGAAGTATTTACAGTAGATTGATTTTAAAGTTTCAGTAGTTTTAATACCTAAAAATAAGATAGTCTGGTCATAATGAGAAGCTTGGTTTGGCTTGTCACCAATTCAGTTGTCTATGTGCTTAGGGCAAAATCGTGTGTCCATTTTGCCCCCTTTCCCTCAACTTTTCTCTTTCCTTCACTAGCAGATAAACACTTTGGATCAAAAATTCCATTTTATTTGCAGATGTATCTCTAGGGCCCTGAAAAAATGCCTGAGACATAGTAGAGAATAAATATTTGTAGAATGAATGAATGAGTGAATGTTAAGCTGACTGTATCTGACCCTCACATAACACTATACTTAGGTATATAGATATAAATAGTACCAGTCCAACAGTTAAGGGAAAAAATTCCCCAGAATCACATCAATTTATTCTTTATTTTCTGATCTTTCTGGCCAATGCTATGTTTGGTGTTCTGCAGAAGCTCTGACTATCTTCACTGAAGGTTGGTGTGAGTTCTTCTGGGAAGCAACCACTTGCAGCCAAAATATAGCAAGCTGATTCTCCAAATAAAGCCAAGTGATCCCCTGATTGAGAGCCCCAGTTTTGGCCCCTGACGAGACTCAGCCAATGGATATTTATTAGGCACTATGTTGACACTGAGGAGGAGAAAAGGGAAAATAAGTTATGTCCTGTGCCCTCAAGGAATTTACACTGTAATTAAGGAGAGAAGATACTTACATATAAATAAATTATATAAGATAAAAATATGTTGTCTACCACACATGAATGGCATAATTAATACATTTGGTAGGAGATATTGTGAAGAAAAGATAATTGCAAAAACAATTTAAGACATCGCTGTGGTCTAGTTGCATCATAGAAAGTCATGGATTTTGTAGTTGGCAGACATAATGGAGGACATGAAATTTGTCTCTGAAACGGGAAGAATTGGTAGTGTTGAATATAGAGGCAGAGAAGGCATTCTACATTAAGGATATAATAAAAATGAAGGTAGTAATGAACATGGGGGTCTGTTAAAAGAACATAGATTTGAAAAAAAAAGATAAAATTATGACTCATACAAATGTAAAATGGCTCATGTCAAAGATTTCATTTAATTCATTAATTAATTAGGTAACCAACAAGATGTTACAACTGACTTAAAGGAGCATTCAAAAATCATACATATTTACGTATTAACAAGGGCTGAAATGAGTTTAAAATAGATGCAAAACTAGTTTCTTTCACGTCTGAGGAGATAAATCGATTGAACCGCCACCAGACAAAATTTTCTGCTTGTCCATTGACAACAATCACTTGCATTACTCTCAGTTGTCTGTAACTCAGAGAGTTATAAAATAGCTGAAAGACAATGACAGGTACAGAGATCTCAGAGAATCAGAAAATCAAGGAAGGTATGCTAGACAAAAAATGAGTTTTCCATCGATGACACCCAGAAAGTGTTTATTTCATTTCAGAGTGTTTCATGTTTTGTCTCTTTGGGTTCATAGGTGGTAATATGTATTACAGTTTGGGAAAGCAATTATACATAGTCTAGGGTCTTCAAATTACTTGCTCTTTTAGATTCAGGAATAGAAATGGATTTCTTCCAGTTCCTAATGGTTGGGTTCTGGCCACTGAAGCAATCTGTTGAGGATTCTTTGGCTACTTTTTTGGAAACAGTGCTGTGATGACTTTGCATTCTCTGTCATGATCCTTGCAAGTTTAGGGGGTGTGAGGTGTTAGCTTAACTATTTAGCCAATAGGGAGCCACTGATAGTTTTTAATCAGGGGTTGGTTGCAACTTGGTAAACCTGGTGTACAAGAATACAGACGCAGAAGCAGTGTGCAGAATAGATTGAAGTGGTTAGAAACTGGA